GTGTGTGTGTGTGTGTGTGTGTGTGTGTGTGTGTGTGTGTGTGTGTGCGCTTAAACTCAAATCTGATTGGAGAAGATGCACATCGATCGATTATCAGAAAAGCGCCATCAGTCAGTGAGTGCGAGTATAAAGGGGCTGAGCCTGGAGTGGACGTTGAGGAGCTGCTCAGGATGCTGCTTTGCCTCACACACTTTATTTTTCTAATTTGACCAAACGTGATTACAGGCTGAACAACAAGTGCGTCCGACACTCTGCTCCTCCAGCAGCAAAAAAAACCTTTAACTACACAAAGACGGCAGGAAGAACCAGGCCAGAGATGAAACTGCAGATCACTTTCACATTTGTCGTCTTGTTAACAACAAACGGGTAAATCCCTAATTTGGTGACGTAGTTCTGGAGGATGAGCAGTGCTTTACTTCCCTCATCTCAACCTTTATCTTCTCTGGAGTGACTCAGAGAGAAAACTGAGCAGTAGGTAGGATTCAGACGACCGCGAGATAACACCGCCGTTTTCACGCTGAGCTGCTGTCATGTGCAGGATGTGTGACAGCGGCGAGGGACTCTACACCTTCCAGACCAGAGAGGGGGAGCAGATCTACCAGAGGGTCCACTCGTCCACGCTAGCCATCGCTGAGCAGCACAAGAAGGTCCTGCTGGAGATGGAGAAGAACAGCAGGGTGAGGCGTGACCTTTCCTTTCTGATGATTTCAGCAGACTCGGGTTCAAATTCAACCTTTATTCAAACCCTGTGCGATTACAGCAGCGCACAGCCACAGACTGTATATAAATGATGGAAGTAGCAGGTCAGAAAACATCCAGAAGGGGGCGACTTCCCCATTTCAAAGAGCATCTTAATTTAAACAAAGCACCATTAAGTGTTAATAAATGCATAAAAAATGTGTTCGTCTCAACAAAGTTTAGAAAAGGTCAAAATAAACTTCCTGTAACGCTGTAACAAACAATTATAATAAATCAAGGCTATGAAGTCCTATGAAATTTCACTTTTGTGCTTCACATTCACATTTTATTCAGTTTATTTGGTAAATAAACAGAAAAGCAGTAAATAAAAATCTCACAGACATAAATGCAGACCTGCCTTGCTCAGAGGCTCCTCGGCAGCAGAAGAGAACACGGGATTACATCATGTGGTTAAAAACGGGCTGCTGGGACGCTTTCACAATAAAATGAACTTGATTCTTTGATTGCGTGTGAGCCGTGCTACTTCCTGCGCTTATTGTCTCAATTCCTGATGTTGTGTTTTTTATCCCAGCTGCTGTCGAAGGGCTCAGAGTCTGGCTCGTACCCCTGCACCCCCACCGCCATCCTGCCCCGATCCGCCTACTGGCACCACATCACTGGAAACCAGACCGGCATGGATCCCGGCAGCGGTACGCCGCACGCCAACCCTTACATAACATTTACACGAGATTTATACAGGATTGAACTCTTGATGATGTCAGAAGTTCAAAAGCTCCTCCCATAAACTCAAGAACCAAACCTGATTGTTGTCTTCATGGTCGCCTCCTTAAAGCTCTGCACTCGTAGGAAGTCCCGCTCTGATGACCTCCATGCTCCATCTCCGTGTTTACTTTACTTCTTTCATTCTCTTCACCTCCTTTCTCACCTCCTTTCTCACCTCCTTTCTCACCTCCTTTGTCCTTCACCCCTGCTGGAGTGAAGGACAAAGGAGGCAGAGGGTCGTTCAGTACAGATGGACTCAGTGTTGTTTTTAAAAAACAACTCAAAACTCACCTTTTTAAAACTGCTTTTGGTTCATTCTTGCTTGTTTCATATTGTCTGTTTGACCTTTTTATGACTCTCTATCTTATGTGCAGCACTTTGTGACTCTGTCTAGAAAGATGCCATATAAATAAAATTGTCTTTATTTATTTTATTGACAGATCGTCAAAAAAGACAAAGACAGAAACACATGAGTGACGAGTCGTGTCCAAATACAGAGACGTTACCAGTTTATGCTTCATAAGAACATCTGTAGAGTCACACATGCAACATAAAGTATCCAGGCAGATATTTCTGTCTTTGCAACTTCAAATAAACATTATTCATAAACTCTTAATATATTCAAACATCATGTTTTGGTGAAGCTGTTCCTCACCTGCTGCTTCTCTCTACGTTTCATTCGTCACTCCACAATGTCCCAAAACAGGAGAAACTCCTGAGTAATCGAGTATTTGCTTCTCGGTGCGCTGTGAGCTGAAAACATTGTTTGGAGAGTAAACATCAGAAACGTGCAGATGTAAAGAGTCCGATGTTAGAGGAGCTGCGCAGAGACCCGACAGACAAATTCAGCTTTGGTTTCAGAGTTTTTGGTGGATTGTGTTTTTGTCGTGTCGCGACGCCGACGCTTTACACACACGTGTTGAGGAGATCGATGATAGGTTTATAGCATGAACTTATTCGCTGGAACGTTAAGGACAATTTGCTGCACAGCAAACAGACACGTTTATCCTACCACAGAACAATAAGAGAAGCCACGAGCTCTCCCGCGCTCCGGGTGTGGATGCCAGAACACTCTGCACGCTTTGCAGACTGCTGAACATCACACATCCTATCACTACACTATCGATTATACACCTCTGAGCACATATGGTTAAATATTTCCTGATACAAATGACAATAATAAAATCTAAACCCATCAATCGATATCAGAGTCAAGTAGCATCAAGGCTCCGCCTACCTCAGGTAACAGGTGTGTTTCTGCTCCGTCTGCAGGTGACGCCGCGGAAGACGAGCTGCTGTCCACCCGCCTGCCTCCCGACCGCCACGCGACGCTGCCCCTGGCAAACACACACACGCAGTCTCAGCCACACATACACACACACTCCCCGACACACTACCCCACCTTCCCCGGACAGTGACACACACACTCACACAGGTGCGTGTGGACTTTGAAGACACACACAGGACCCACATGCATGCAGACACACACACTGGACACTCCCTCCTTATATCTGACAGCCCAACATCACACCTCACAGGATGGAGGGACGCTAACAGCACGCCGTCCCGAGAGCGCACTTCCTGCGGCTGCATCCTGCTGTGTGGCGTGAGGACTGAAAGCTCTCAGCTTCAAACCAGAGACAGAGTGAAGATTGTACGGACGTTTTTATACTGAATTTCTACCGCAGCTTCCTTTTGAAATCACAACAATAAAGAGGAAATGAGCGGCAGCCTGACACGCACACGTGGACCGACGCAGGCCTGTTGGCGTCCTGCTGCTCGCTCAGCTGCTTCCTCCTCCTCACACCAAACATCAGTCTGCCGTCACCTGTGTGAAGATGTGTTTTGATCTTTATTTGACCCGCCCACAGTCACACGCCAGCGTGGCTACTAGAATAAGCAAGAATTCAGTTATTAACTGACAGAACTTATTTACACCTCAGAAAATTAATTTGTAATGGTTCGATTTGCTTGTTAGGTCTGACGCCTTTAACCGTTTCCAGGTCCGAATCCTCTTCAGTCCTAAAATCAGGGAAACTGAGGAACAGCTGAGGGTGGAAAACAGTCCAATAAAACATCTGTGCAGCTGTTCGCTCAGCTGTGACAATAAAGTTTAATCAAAAGGAGGATTTATGAGGTGAGCAGGAAGAAAGCTCGCTCTCTGGCTGAAGGATTTAAAAAAGACTACAAAAGCACAGTTCATGTCATAGACTGTATATAAAGGATGGATGTAGCTGCCCAGATGTGACCCTGATGGGATATGATGTCACCGCAGTGAAACGTGGACCAGCAGCTGAGAGCTAAACGTCAGCGCTGATGCCACTTTTTAGCTCTGTCCATCTTTCTATACAGTCTGCACAGCGAGTTTACGCGTCGGGCTCTCGGCAGCGCCGACCGAGCTCGGTCACTCAGACGTCTCGGGCTGGTTTGGATCTCTCGATGATCCCGAGCTCACTCTGAAGTCAGACGCTGAGTTTTTAAACGTGTGCTGTGCGTAAATAGAGCTGATCAACAGCTGCACAGGACCTGGAAGAAGTTCTCTGAGGTCATCTCTTAACAAGCAGATCATCTTTAGGCTTAAAGTAAAAGAAGTCAACGCCACGAATGTCATCATATAGAAACCTTAGGCTGCTTTAAAGCATATTCAGGCCCACGTGGTTGCATTACTGTGGCTCCCTGCACAGCTTAGGTTGTTTTTTTATAGTGACAAAACTATGAAACGCCAACATTTGGTCAAATTTCCAGTTTTTATGGATGTGGGAGGATTGAAGCGATGTATGATCCTGCTGCACGGTGCCTTAACAGCACCACGAGGACTGTGAAGACACGCGTGTGAAGAACACGTTTATCACATGTGGATGAATGCCTTTGACTTCACTGGTAGACGTGACTCCGCAGCTCCAGGATCTGCTCACCGAGCCCTGGCTGCGGCGTTTCTTATCGAGTGATTCCTGAGCTCTCCGGGATGTGTCTTATTGCACCTTGGTCTTTTTACACACCCCTGTTCTCATCATCCACGGGTTTTAGGGGCATTTGCCTGTCAGTAACTGATGTTCACTGTCCTTACATTTCATTGTTCACTTCTCACTTTTCCCTCTCACAGATGAAAACTCTCAGCCTCTCTGCACAGGTAGAGTTCGTCAGTTTGAGCCTCACATTTGTGTTTCTTCTGGTCCGTAGCCATGTGTGAAGAACTGGTACCTCCAAATCTGAGGCCACGGTTCTGAGCAGGAAACAGGTGGAGTCCCTCCGTACGGGTCAGGGAGGTGTAGCTCCGCCCAGTTCTTTAAGAGCTCTTGGGCTGTTGTTCACAGCAGATCACAATACGGATCTGAAGTGATATGGATGCCGTCGGTCTTACCCTCACCTTTGACCCTGAGCTGTGTTGTAGATACTGTGAGGCTCCTCTGAAGGAGGAGCTCAGTCTTTCAGGAGGAGGTCAGAGTGTAGCGTCCTTCACACTGGAAGGAGGCAGTGTGAGGTGTTTGGGAGGAGGCCAGACTCAGGACACAGTTTGTGTCTCTGAGCTGGCCTCGTGCTTCCCCAGAAGAGCTGCACCAGTTTCAGCCTGATGGACTGCTGCCTCCAGATAAGCTGTGGAAAATGGATTTGTGGGTGTAAAATAGGAAAATGTGTTCAAACACTGACACGAGTAGAAGTGGAAATAACACAGGTTAGGTTTCACTTCTGCCCTGAGGTCACACCAGAGGCTTCACTGGGTCCCTGAGGTAGTCTGCGATATGACAATAGAGAAACCCTGAAGCTGCAGCAGTGCTGGCATCAGCAGACAGATAGCAGCACAGTTAATCACACACGGCCCGTTTTTCTGCTTCCACTGAGTCCGAATAGTCCAGGTGGTCAGGACGTTCTGTTGGATAGCACAGCCATCGTTTCTGTCATCAGTAATATGAGCAACGACCAGCCGGGAGCACGGCTCAGACGCACCACAGGGCGCTCCATTTGGAAACTAAAGTTCTTCAAACTTATGTGGAGGAGCTCAGAGCGATGCCTGAACGGGTCGAGGCTGGTTCTGGATTGGTTATTGATCGTTATCGATGGCGTCAGAGGAGAATGGCAGGTGCTGCCTTTGCCTTCTCTCACACTGAGCTGTACAGGTGAGGTGGAGGTGGGGAAATACCAGGACAGCAGATGCACGTCGAGGTTTTTCCACCGTGGGCTCCGATCAGCTTTCAGCCGCTGCCTTTTGACTCCGCCCTCGTCTTTTTTCAGACTCGTTTTCCGCGTCGTACCAGGACTGTGACGAAGCTGGATTCCTCCTCTGTCACCATCATTAGCTGTTCTTCCATCACTGAAACATGACAGGGCTAAGAATTCCATCTGTCCCCCACATGATGGAAGCTGTGTACATATCTGCTATTTATTTCATGTGCGTGTGTGTGTGTGTGTGTGTGTGTGTGTGTGTGTGTGTGTGTGTGTGTGTGTGTGTGATTACTGGAACGTGTTCATATAAAATACACACTCTCTGTTGGACCTTGTGATGTAGAAGAAGCTGCTCCACCTTGTCAGCGTGGATCTTCATGAACCAGAAGAAAGCGTTTTTGATCCCATCCTGCACCGCCCCCTCACGCCGCGTCCATCCGTCCGTTCGCTCATACACGTTCACGCCTGTGCCGCGCTGCAGTTCATCTTTGTAGCAGGAGGAATCGTGCAGAGGGGTGTTTCATAAAGAAGGAGCAGGACAGGCCAGACTTAAAGCTTCATGTTTGTCGAAGAATAAAAGAAAACTTTGACCCTGAAAAGATCTCTGCTTTGAGGGCCGCGTCTCATGGTAGCACAGGAATGTCGTGTCACATTATCGTGCTAAATCCGGCGTATTGGGCTGATTCCAGCCTGTTTGTTTGGTTTCCTGCTGAGACTCGAGTCTTTATGAAACCCCTTCTGGCCTCACACACCTAAGTGCTCGGTGGAAGCGCTGAGTGACGGCTTCCCTGCAGCAGTCGTAGTGTGTCTGTGATTGTAGTGTCATCTCCGGCCGTGACCGCCCCTCAGCTTTGTAACCGATGACAATAAATGCCGTTTCCACCTGCTCACACTGTCCACACAAAGTGCATGTTTTAGAGAAAATAAAGTTCATTGTTACTGAAGGCTCCCTGCTGTGATGTCAGTCCTTAAATTTTGTTTTACCTCTTATTTTATTATTTTATTACATTTTGAAGCTGCTTGTAAAATATTCAATATTAAGTTTTTTGTGTATCAGATGATTTAACGATGAAAGATCTGACAGTTGTAGGTAGAAACCCAGTGATGGTGGTGCGAGGGAAGAATGAAATGAAAGGTTTAGCTCACAGCACAGAGGATCTGCCTCCTCCCAGATATCTGTGGGTTTTAGTTTTTTGCATATCTGTCACGTTTATGTGTTTCAGGTCATCAAATGTTCAAATTAGACAAAATGATGCCAGTGATGACAAGATGCAGCTCTTCACGATGGTTTCTTTTATTAAAAGAAAGAAAGCTTTCCAAACCTGCAGTGTATAAAAAGTGAAGCTAACTAACAACCCTGCAGCCTTGGCAGCCTTCAGTGAGTCTTTCACATGGATGGAGGAATTTCACTCGGACACTCGTGACACATTCACACTGGACTTGCTTGCTGGTGTGTTTGGGATCATCCTGCTTAAGCAGAGTGCTTCCTCGTGGCTCCATCAGCTACACCAAGTCTATAAAGCTCAAACTAACAAATCAGGACGGGGCAAATGCTTCGTCACAGGTTCAACTCCAGCTGATTTCTGCTACTGATCCAGGAGCTCACATATTTTTTAACTTTTCCAGTTGATCCTCTAAAAATGAAGCGTCGCAGGACAAATGGTATAAATGTGTCTTTGTTTTTGGATCATTTTGTGAACTCAGAGGCTTTTTCCCTGCCTGCGCCCACCCTCTGCCGTCGGTGTGAGTCTGTGAGGATCCAGCAGGGGGCAGCAGCGCTCACGGGCTCAGTGAAGGCAGCGGGGGAAGAAGAGGCGGCAGGAAGCGCTCACACAGCCGCTGACCTGCAGCTCCGCTCTCACCTGAACCTTTCTGTCCTCGATCACCTGCGCCGTGTGACCACGTGACCCGCCGACATGGGCCGGAAGGTGACCGTGGCTACCTGCTGTCTGAACCAGTGGGCTCTGGACTTTGAAGGCAACTGTGAGCGGATCCTGAGGAGTGAGTGAGACCGCAGCGCGAGCTCAGGCCGTGGCCCAGCCAATCACGGCCACGAACAACTCTGCTTTTCATAAAACGTATGACGCGTTATCCCCGTGCGCCGTCACCGGGTGCGTGGGTCTGCTGCCACAGGGTGCGTGGGTCTGCTGCCACAGGGTGCGTGGGTCTGCTGCCACTCGGTAGTAATAAAACGTTCAGCTCGCTTTATTTCGATTCAGTCTGTGGGAGGCGAGTCACCCACGCGAGTCACCCACGCTCACTGCACATTTCAGCAAACACGCATCAGCAACATGAATCAGTAATAACAAAGAATCCACGCGGCATCATAGCAAAACTACGAGGTGTGTGTGTGTGTGTGTGTGTGTCTGTGTGTGTCTGTGTGTGTGTGTGTGTGTGTGTGTGTGTGTGTGTGTCCAAACCAGGACACTGATGAAAAATCAAACCATCGTAGTTTTGTCAGAAAGATCTTTAAAGGACTCGACCTGAAACCACGTCACCTGAAGTCAAAGGTCATGTCTTTCACAGTGGACCCTCCACTGTGAAAGAAACCCAGACATTTCTGTACGAGTTGATGGAAAAACAGGAAAACACAGCTAAAAGTTCCAAATCTCCTTTACAGTTTCTAAAACTGTTTATTGGGCCAGATTTGAGTTTCAGCCAGGCCGATCCCGGCCCCTGGGCCTTATGTTTGATACCTCTCTCCTAGCTGCGTGGAGGATCTGACCCGGGTGAAGGGTTGTCGGAGTGTCCTGAGTGTGTGTGGACACAGGCACACACTGACCAGCTGTGGCTGCTCTGACTAACAGTGGCTGAGTCGTCTGCACACTGTGGGTTACTGCAGGTGGACGAGTCACATGACACGAGCTCGCGATAAGAAAATAAATAAAGCTCATGTTAAATTATTAGTTCTGTCACAGGCTGATTATCAGAGTTCTCTATGATCTCAGGCAGGTGTGTGTGATACTGCAGTTCTCCCGTCTGCCTGCAGGTATCGAGGAAGCCAAAGCTCACGGAGCCAAGTACAGGCTGGGTCCAGAGCTGGAGATCTGGTACGATTCTTTTACGTCCTTATTAAACTCACGCGTCATCTGTTGGTCCAACTCTTCTTCTCTGCTTTGTTTCAGCGGCTACGGCTGCGCAGACCACTTCTATGAGTCGGACACGCTGCTGCACAGCTTCCAGGTCCTCAGGAATCTTCTGGAGTCTCCCGTCACTCAGGACATCATCTGTGACGTGGGGATGTGAGTGTTCAGAGTGCAGCGCGAGGCTTTGGCTCCACCTGCTGGACGTGATGTGGCGTGCACCTGTAACGTCTCCTCTCCTGCAGCTCTGACTGTTTCTTGTCCTTTCAGGCCCATCATGCATCACAACGTGCGCTACAACTGCCGCGTCCTGTTCCTCAACAGGTACGTCAGCAAGGCCACACCTCCTCCTCCAGGTCGTAGTCTTCCTCCACATGGAGCTAAACGAACACTTTGCTTCTTCATCATAGAAAAATCCTGCTGATCAGGCCCAAGATGCTGATGGCCAACCACGGGAACTACAGAGAGGTGCGCTGGTTCTCCCCCTGGAACAAGTTACGGTCGGTCACTCTGGAGTTCAGCTTTAATCTGTCACGTGTCTGCAGGTGACCACGTGTCCCTAAACGTGGGTGTGTCTGATTGGTTCTTTCAGGCAGGTGGAGGAGTATTTCCTGCCCCGAATGATCCAGGAGGTGACAGGCCAGGTAACCTCTGCCGTCGCAGTTACCAGCTCATGTCTGGTGAGAAGTTCTCGTCTGAATTTTGTCGCCTCGTTCCTGTTTGCAGGACACCGTCCCCTTCGGTGACTGCGTGCTCTCCACGAAGGACACCTGCATCGGCACTGAGATCTGCGCCGAGCTCTGGAACCCCGACAGGTGGGGAGAGGCTGCCAGCAGGTGCGATGGCGCTCGCTCGCTCTCCTGCTAACGTCTGTCCTCTCCTCAGCCCTCACATTCAGATGGGTCGGGACGGCGTTGAAATCTTCACCAACTCGTCCGCAAGCCACCACGAGCTCCGCAAAGCTGACCAGAGGGTCAACCTGATCAAGGCGGCCACCACCAAGGTACGCGCTCGAATACGAGGCCGAGCACTGAGCGCGACGGGGCAGTGTTGTACGTGACGCCATCTGCTGGTGATGTTGCAGAGCGGAGGAATCTACCTGTACGCCAACCAGAGGGGCTGTGACGGAGACCGCGTCTACTACGATGGCTGCGCCATGGTGGCCATTAACGGTGACGTCGTGGCGCAGGGAGCGCAGTTCTCCCTCGATGATGTGGTACGTGAAAAGGTTTCCTGTCATGTATGTCCTGCTGGAGGTTAAACATGACGATGAGCTCGGTGTGTGCGCAGTGATCCCGAAGCTCAGGTGAGATCAGCAGGAGCAGCTCGTTTCAGACACGGGACCACCTGACAGGCCGAGGACGCGATGATGAGGGATTAGTTTGAATTTCGATTCATGCAAAGCTCCTCAGGTAGAGGAGGGGCCGTTTTAGGGAAGTGCTTCCTGTGCTGCACCGAGACTGCAGGTGAAGGTGTCGGACCGATGTGTGTGTCGCAGCCACCAATCAGAGCCAAGCTTTTAACAGACTGATGGATGTGCGACCCTAAACCAACCAAACGCAGCTGCCTGTGTGTAGCTTTCATTAAGACCAAGAAAGTTTAACCTGTTCTGTGAAGCTTCTTATCAAAACCTGCCATGAAGAGTGTGTGTGTGTGTGTGTGT